CCTTCGCATTATTTGTTAAACTAGTGCTCCTGAAAGTTTCAGTATGGTCGGTGTGGTTATCTCGAGATGCAGCTGATCACCCACAACCCTGCATCTTGCCAAATGCTCCCATACGACCAAGCGTCTCAAATAGCATCTGCTGAGGAAATGTTACTTACTGCCTTCTCGTTGCGATGATGTTTTTCCATCAAAGTGAGAGGATGAAAAGCCAATATTCGGGAATAAAACCGGGTGGATAAACCACTGGCAGTTCATCTAGGTGAGTTCGCCAAAAACCCTGGTTCAAAACAAACCAAGAAGAGGCATACAAATCACATACCTAAGGCGGTGGTGGCCAAGTGATTAGGTCAGTAACTTGTGACCTGTGAGTCCTGGTTTCGAACTGCTCTACCATTGCCCGTCTCCCCAGGCAGCCTTTGTATGGCCGCGACCCCCCTTACTGATTGTTTTCTGTACATTTGTACTACAAGGCGCCATTTTATCCCCTTTTCTATTTTCTGCCTACATTTCCTCTATGCCTGTGGGCAATTCTTCTCTTCTCGTCAAGTATGCAGATGATATAATATTCGGACTGCCCTACCCCAACTCATCATTACAAACGACTCTGCAAGAAGACGTGACTGGATTGGTTGAATGGTCACAACAAAGAAACCTCTGCATGAACCCCCAAAAATGTAGTGACGTAATTTTTTATCTTCTGAAAGGGCAAAAGTTTGATGAATTATCAAACGCCAGCCCACCTTTATCTGTCCTGAGTGATCAGATGGTACGAAAACCGATTGTTAAATACCTGGGTGTTATTTTTAATCATAACCTCACCTGGTCTGACCATGTCAATGACGTTTTTTTGAAGGTCAGGAGGCTCACTCTTTATGTTTTACGCCTTAAATCCCTTTCCATTCCAAACCATCTGCATGCGTTTTGCCACATTGGCTTTATGGGTCCCCTGTTATCTTCCCTGGTCTTTTGAACAAGGACCTCAAACTCATTTCCCGATCCCTCAGATTTCTCTCCGTTTGTAGTCTCATACCACGGGAACAACTAGTAGAGTTTGTGGTGACACATCACTTTAAGTCCTGTAAAACATTCTCTAATAAGATTTTATCTGATATCTCCCATCCTCTTTATTCCTCTCTTAGCGACTGCCTTTCTCACTCATCCACCCGTTCTACTCACAAACTCATAAAGATTCGCACTGAAGCTTACAGGCGGTCTGTTGTTCCTTATCTCGCCAGATTTCTAACAAACCAAGACCTCGTTACGGGAAATCTGCGTCAAACACTACACTAAATCCCTCATGAACACCCAGGTGTGCCACTCATTTTGGTAGTTGCTGTCACTTGTCACATCCGTTTAACTGCTGTATCATACTATTGTGTTTTACGTATTTTTTGACACACTACGGTTATGTGGTTGCTGAATATCCACCTCGCGGGGTGTATAAAGCCATTCCTTGACTTGATTTGACTTAACTTGACTATTCAACAAATAAAAAAGCAAACAAAAAGACACAAGACATAGACACAAACTTTCCTGGTTTGGGATGTGTTCGCTTGAACATATGATCCCATTCAAAAGGCGTAAAATTCGATGAACTGGTCACTGGTTTTCTATAGTTTGCGGTTTTAACACACCAACCTGCTGCAATGCGGCTCAGGATTTGGTTAGCTAAATGATACGGTTGTGAATTCCTGAGGAAAACTCAACTGCTTTAGACTGAGCCACCTGGCAGTATTGTGTTCCGCCCACTGACAAATCATGGACGTTTTTCCATAAAGGTTACTCTACCGTGGTTTGTTTGGCACAGTCTGGATTCAGACGAGTTTGAAACAAAATGCCGTCACACCAGAACGACACAAATTCAGTTACGTCACCAAATCCATGTACAGATTCAGAGCGATGGGTACGAACAGTGCCTGAAGATGAACACCCACAAGATCAATCTACGTAGGAAGTAGTCAGAGAAACAATAATGAGAACAGGTAACTCAAGCAAAATATCCAAACAGAACAGATTGTGATTTTACCTAGTGCAGGGGTATCAACTAGTTCCAGTTCATGCTTACAGTGGAACGTGAAAAACACATCCAGTGAGGCATTAAGACCACACGCACAGTGTGGTGTTCCACCAACACTAGGAATGCAATTTAGTTCGACAGTTAGTACAATCACTAACTCTGCATTTCCGTAGTCCGGCTTTGTTTATTACCCGTTTGGTCAACGATGAAGAAAGAGATGATATTCTACTGAAAGCTGAGTGTTTCCAGGAAGAGGGAAAGTATAATTCTACGAAACCAAGTGTGTATGGAAATGGAAAAGATGCCCGAGCGTTAACATTTACGGTACTCGGTCATACCTTGCCAAAGCCCCTAACCGTTGACCAGATAGATTTCGAAGTAACCAACTGTTAAGCTTAATATGGGTAAGATAAAATGGAACAACTGTCATGGATAGTCAAACTTGGTCCAGAAACAGTGATCTTACTTTCTTCGGACCAACGTAACAAATCAGATTCTGGGCAAACTTCTGCAAGTCTTCTTTGCTCAATTTGGACAACGACTCGGAAATCGGAGCGCGCAAAAGCACCTGATCCGGTTGCCGGATTCGCATTAAACAAGTAGCCACCACATGGGAACACCAAGTGCCCGATGGTGTTGAATTTGCGGCAGCCGTGAACCCGTTCGCGGTCAGAGCCATCAAATCACGCGCCGGTCTTGAAGCCGGATACGCTGAAGCAGCACCCGCATTCGGTTGCACACCCCAACGCATTCCAGCCGTACCGAATGGCGAGGCGTGTTTTGCCAAGGCGTATCGGAAAAAGCCGGCGGTGTTACGCATCGGTGTCTGACCGGAACGCATGTACCCATTGGAGTGAGCGGTCGAGGATTGTGGATTCCCCGCGTCTGGTTCCACGAAACCAGATCCCGATGGTTGTCCGTTTCGTATAGGGCCCGTGAAGGACATAGCTTGATACGGAAAGGATCCAAAGACCTGATTCTGATTTGCGGAACCAGTCATTGGGAATGATACTGCATTGTTTGAATAGGTATTCCGTGTCCCATCGTAATCCATTTGATATCGGGGTGAAGTGAGATTCGCGCAACGCTCCTCCATATCAAATGTGCATGTACAGGAGCACGAAGTAATCCGACCCCGATCAAATGTGAGCGAGACTCTGTAGGCCGGGTAACCAGGCTCGATATTGACCGCACCCCGATCGGTAGCCTGGTTAAGATTATCTTGTCCGTCTGCCGGTGAATTCCCAGCCTCAGCTGGAATGCGACGAGCCTCGGAAAGCGCATTAGTGCTGAAGTTTACATGGTAAGGATCTGTCGCATTGCCTGAGGTCAGAGTCCCGTCCAAAAGATCACTCAATCGTCCGTTCTGATATGGATTGAGCGAGGGAGCGAGGTGAATCCCAGTGAGTACGGTGGCACTCAGGTGAAATCCTGACAATGAGAAGGGGTAAATGAAACAATTCGGTAAGATATTCCAAAGGGTATCATGCCTCAACTAAATCAATCAATTCAACAAAGCGATTCCGACCTAAACCTACGCTGTGGTACAGTAGAGTATGGGGTTCCGCCGATCAAACATTCATGTATAATTTTATCAAACCATGATATTCCGAAGTTGATGGTTTAATTATGCCCAATAGATTAGATCAAATGGTTTAATTCACTAGCGCTAGTGCTCAGGACCCTAAAGTCTGAAGTTAGAAACCTGCCAATACCAATCAACTTGAGTAGTAGGCAACTGTGCTAGAGTCGGACTCAATAATCCACATACCCTACTGGGGCCCAATGTGGCTCCCTACTCCTAACTCCGGTTGCAATAACCGAACAAGCGATCTGCCTGACTACAGTTCACTCATTCTATTGTTGATTGCACGAAAAAGTATGGTAAAAAGAACTTATATGACACACCATAGAGACAAAAATCGGAAGCAAGAGTTAGAGAAATCTGATCACCGGACAAAATCACCATGACCCACAGGGAAAATGTGACGAAAACATACACAGGAGAAGTCGTTAGAAGTATGCATGAAATAGTATCCATACCTATTTGAACGCATTCGCGAACTGCTTTATCGGCCCATAACGCTTCGCCTTGATCGAACTCATAGGACTCGCCGCTGCTCAAACACGAATACAACCAGATCGCATCCTCGTCTGTGGGAAAACTGTGAAACGCGATCAGGCGTTGCAGTTCCTCCGGGACAGTGATCGGACTGGACTCGACCACTTCGAATGGAAAGTGTTGAGCGATGGCTTTCGCAGTGAGTACCAGTAACGATTCTGGCTGTCGGTTTTCGCTAGCTAAAAGAAATGAAAAACAATAAAAACATAAGTAAATCAGAGTAGGTGACTTTGAGCGCCAACAAGAGTGTTTAAGCACTAATGGACACTGGTAGCTCCCATAGATATGTATCCCATTCCGTTGATTAATTCTTACGGAAGTTAATCGCTGTGACTCTAAAATGACCACAGCTTCAACCTCATTCTCTTGTTCTATCACTGGGTATTTTAACGTCACCATCCAATACCATGATGTTCCCTAAGAAAACATGCGACTTGCCGTGATGCGCAATCTGTGTCCATGTATAGTTATAATTTCCTTGGTTTGAAGGATAAAGGGAAAATATCGTTCAATAGCAAACGAGGCTCTTTCTCGCTCTGCAGTCTTTCAGCCGTCAAAATTGAATCACATTACTTGTTGCCGCCCTC